TCAACCTCACGCTTATTACGTGCCGACTCATACAGTTTGGTTCCTTTGAGCTCAGGGGGTAAATATTCTTGCATTACAAAATGCTCTGGATAGTTGTGCGGATATAAGTAGTCGACGCCATAGCCCTGCTCTTTCATCAACTTGGTCGGTGCATTTCTTAAATGCAGCGGCACAGGTAAATTCGCTGTTTTTTCAGCCAAATCCAATGCTTTGTTGATCGCAAGATAAGTACTGTTACTTTTGGCACTGGTCGCCAAATACACCGCACACTGCCCAAGAATAATTCGACACTCTGGCATGCCCACCGCTTGAACAGAACGGAAGCATTCTCCAGCAAGCAGCAGTGCATTGGGGTTTGAGTTGCCAATGTCCTCAGAGGCTGCAATCAACATCCGACGGGCAATAAAAACAGGATCTTCACCGCCTTTGAGCATGCGTGCCATCCAATATAAGGTGGCATCAGGATCACTCCCTCGAATTGACTTAATAAAAGCCGACACCAAATCATAGTGCTGCTCACCCGATTTGTCATAACGGGCAATATTTTGCTGTGCAACTTTGACCACCATTGCATTGGTCACGATATTTTCAACGTCAGGTTCGAAGGTGCCCGCAATCAGTTCAATTAAATTCAAGGCTTTGCGGGCATCACCTGCGGCAAACTGCACCAGTGCTTCAAATTCTTCAATTTGAATATAACGCTCTTTTAAAAACGGATCGTTCTTAATCGCTTGCAGTAATAAAGTTTGAATCGCATCGGCATCGAGCGCATTTAAGGTATAGACCTGACAACGCGACAACAATGCACTGTTGACTTCAAAAGAAGGATTTTCGGTGGTGGCACCAATGAGGGTAATTTTGCCTTTCTCCACAGCATTCAGTAAGGCATCTTGCTGCGATTTGTTAAAACGATGAATTTCGTCAATAAACACCACAGGTGGCATTAAATCTCCGCCATCAGCAATGATCTCACGGAGCTCTTTAACCCCCGTATTGAGTGCAGATAAGCTGACAAAAGGTCGGTCGATCGCTTGCGCCAACAGTAAAGCAATCGTGGTTTTCCCCACACCTGGCGGCCCCCAAAAAATGATCGATGGCAAATGCCCTTGATCGATCATTTGGCGGAGCGGTGCCTGCTCACCCAATAAGTGATCCTGCCCAATAATTTCAGATAAATCACGCGGGCGTAAACGTTCAGGCAGTGGAATATTGCTATCGGACATAGGGCTAGGACTTATCATGCGTTCATCGAATGCTTATGTTATGGCAAATTCAGGCAAATGACACAAGCTTTTCATGCAATTTGATTGTGCTTTTATCGACTAGCGAACCCAACGCACAATATAGTCTTCGATGTCATCATCCTGAATCTCTTCTTCAGAAATACAACGTCCTGCCGCAGACTTTTTCGCTTTCAGAATACTTTGACGTGAGCCCGTGTTCAAATAGTGCCATCTGGGCAAATTTTTACCTTCATGCAGACGGCGGTAAGCACAGCTCGGTGGTAACCAATGAATCGTGTCTAAAAGTTCGGGCGTGAGTTGGATACAATCGGGCACATGCTGCTTACGGTTCGGATAATCCCGACAACTGGCCGTTTGACAGTCCAGCAGTTTACAGGCCACTTTGGTATAGGCGACTTCTTGGCTTTCTTCGTCTTCAAGTTTCACCAAACAGCATAGACCACAACCATCACA